CGTTTCTCCATCTAGAGGTCCTTCCTGCTTACAGCTCGCTTTCCCTGGCCGTAGCAGCGTTCCTGGGCTCTGCATTCTGGTGCTGGGGGGACTTTATCTCTGCTGGGTGTAGTCCGGACTAGGAAGGGTCCGGCGGGGTCTGCTGGCTTCCTGGGGCTGAGCTGGGGGTCCCGAACAGCCCCTGCCTGTGGGCACTGCACAAGGGCAGGGCTGAAGAGGTGCTGTTTACGGGTGGCTGTGAAAGGGACTCCAGTGGCACGGCTCCGATCTGGGACGGAGGGGAGCACGGGGGGCTCACAGCCCCATCCACAGGGCTCGGGTGGGATCTGCCCCTCAGGGCCGACCCGTGGGCTGCTCCAGCGCGTCCCTGTGACCTGTTTTCCATCCACGTGGATATTGTCTCCTCTGGGGGGTTGCAGTGGTTGGTGCTGTGCCTTGGGCTGTGCCAGTACTGGTCCCTTGGTACCCGGGATGCCCCAGAACGGTCCTGTAGCACAGAGCTCGTAGGGAAAACTGGCTGAGCTGGGTTGGACCAGAGATCCCCCATCCCCTGTACTGCCTCCGTCTCTCCTGGGTTTGTCCCCAACATCCTGTCTTCTCTCTGGTTCCAGGTCACCAAGGAGGCTTTTGCATGATGTGCGTTATGCAGAACCACATGATCCAGGCTTTTGCCAACAGCGGCAACGCGATAAAGCCACTGTCCTTCATCCGAGACCTCAAGAGTAAGGATGGCTGCCCTCCCCTGTCCTCCCCTCCTGTAGCCACGCAGGAGAGCAGTGACTAATGCAGGAGCAGAACCTTTGAGATCAGGGCAGGTCTTGGCAGACAGCTCTCCTGAGGTGACTCACGGAGCCTGCTGGGGGCTGGTGACTTCATGGGGCTTCCCCTGTGGCCGGCATGAGTCCGACGTTGATGTCTGGTTTGGGTTGAGGGGGCTCAGACCCCAGAGTTCCTGCCCTGAGGATGGGAGGGAGGGTCTGTGTCTGTCTCAGCATGTTCTGGGGCTGATCCCTCCCTCTCCCGCAGAGATTGCCCAGCACATCCGCTTCGGCAGCCAGGAGGACGCGCACGAGTTCCTGCGGTACACCATCGACGCCATGCAGAAGGCCTGCCTGAACGGCTGCACCAAGTACGTGGGGCCTCTGGTGGCCCATGGCTGCTCTTCTCCGCTGTCCCCTCGCTGGTCTCCTGTGCCCGCGGGAGGGGACTGTGGGGTGACCGTGTCCCCCAGGCTGGACTCATGCAGGGAGGCGCTGACTCCCACGGCCCCGGGGGATGGCCCTGCTCTCTGCCCTCTGTGGCACGGCTCTGGGCTGCTGGCTGCCTTCTCCCCTCTCCTGACACCTCCGCCCCAGCATAGTCCTGTCCCCAGATCCTGGGGCTCCTGTGGGCTTGGGGCTGTCCCAGTTGCTGAGGAGTCCAGGCACGCTTGCTGGTTCAGCCCCAGCTCTGCAGCGCCCGGCTCTGGGCTCTGCCGGGGGTTCCTGCTCCTCCCAGAGGAAGGTGCCCCGTCGAGCCCGGGGAC